TTCAACTCACCTTCGTCTGCCATCTCTTCGTTTCGTCGTCTATTCTGGCACAGTCGTCCTCCTCTTCTCCTCTCCTCCGGCGTGCTGCTCTGACCGTCAACGACCACCTGCCTCCCTTGCTCTCTCTCTCTCTCTCTCTCTCTCTCTCTCTCTCTCTCTCTCTCTCTCTCTCTCGTCGTCGTCCTCAGCCGCAACGTGTTAACGCGCGAACCGTTGCTGCATTCGCCACCCAGCCCAGTCACAAAGACGTTGTTGCATGCTCTGTGTGAGCAGGAACCTTCATGACCCTACCAACATACCAATGGCCCCATCTATATCATTGAGATGCAACGACCCGAGCATGTGTGTGAGTATTTCTGCTCGCTAGATTAATTTGCTGAGATTTCTGTGTGCTAAGTAAGTCTATTGTGTGTGTGCGTGTGTGTAAGTGTCTGTGTAATGATTGCTATGTGGAGAACTAACTGTGTGCTTGCTCTGTGTTTTCTTTTGCGCCCACAGGGGCAAGACTGAAATTGGGATGGGACGGCCTACTGGTAGAGGCTAGGACGGACAAGGGCTATGTAGGGGTCGAGTAGTACCCGACAAGGTTTTTCCTCTCGCGCGGGCAGACCCAACAAAGGTCCGGTAAGTCCAGTGGCTTACAAAAGAGTCATGAGTGGTCAGACATGACTCTAGATGTCAGGTAGGTTAGGCCCTTAGGTATAATTAATAGCAATTTCGTCAAAACGGACATATATTATTTTTTGAACGAAATTGAAAACTGCAAACTTGGCCCGATTTAGGTCGATATTTTCAGCTCCTGAGGGTACGGCATTCTGAAAACGCCCTACCCCCTGAATGCAAACTAAGTCCAGATACATCCAGGGGGGTACGGCGTTTTCAGAATGCTGTACCCCCTGGACTCCAGCTAAGTCCAGATACATCCAAGGGGTCCGGCATTTTAAGGACGCTGGACCCTCAAGAGCTTGAAATTTTCACCTAAATCGCTCTAATTTATGAGGTTTCAATTTCGTTTAAAAAATAAAATATGTCCGTTTTGACGAAATTGCTGTTAATTGCACTGTTCCTGCTGAACGGTCGGAACTCTCGGTAGGTCTACCGCCTTCCCCCGAACATAACACATATGTGTTGTATTCGAGTTTTCCAAAAAAAAGGTTTTTTAAAAGTTTGACAATATTCTCGAATACAAAGGCACTTCGAATATAACGCATACACGTTCTATTTGAATTCTATCAGCGCCTGCTCTATTCTTGCCCTGGTGACCGGGGCAGGCTTGTGCTCTCTCTCTCTCTCTCTCTCTCTCTCTCTCTCTCTCTCTCTCTCTCTCTCTCTCTCTCTCTCTCTCTCTCTCTCTCTGCCCCTCTCCGTGCACGAAGTCACTTCTAACAACCAAGAATTTAATGTGGCGTGGCCAAGAAACTGGAAGCCAGTTCAAGCCACTCACCAAGGCCTCGCTGCTACAGTGGTCACGGAGATAGAAAAGACAAAAAAGGGTTGTATCTTTTGATATTATAGCAGAAGATTTATTACCATTTTGCATATTTTCGACGAGGTGGAGCGAGGCCCCAAGTAGGGGAAAGAAATGAATCTCCGGCCAGAACATGGAAAGGTACGTCGCAAGCCTCCTCAGCCTGGACCCGACCCCCTTGTGAAGGTAAACGTCCGTACGTCCGTACGTCCGTACGTAAAATGAATCACCGTAAAGTTGGTCTTGTTCATTCAAACATAACACATATGTGTTGTAAATGAATACAACACACCGTATGCATCATATTCGTTTACAATGCATATGCGTTATGTTCAGGGGAAGACGGTAGTACCCTGGAAAGGCAGCGGTAGGCACAATACCACAACCTAAGTGGCGACACCCCTTGGCATGTAAATCGATGAATTGTTGAAGCCCAGGGGTGTCGCCACACGCACAAGGTTGAGTTTTCTCAACGCTGAGCTACATGGTTACTGAGAAGACTCAGTAAACCATGGTACGTAGGTTACTAAGAGCAGCCCTCCCTACACGGTTTGCATTGGTCACTCCATCTGTTGGTGGGGAGCTGCACCTGCTGGAAAACGGGTCCAACGTCCATTTTATAATATTAAAAAATGTTGATAGAGTCCCGAACTGAACCTCTTCACCCAGGGCAGGGCGCCAAAAGTGAATTTTTAATCCTAGCTCTATGTGGTGCCTGACTCTGGTTTAAGGAAAAAAACAGATAAAAATGTGTTTGTTGTATATGTTGGATCTCTCTTCCCTTTGAAAATTTTGTTTCTTCATAAGCATCCAGACCATGTCATGTCAATGGAACAATAGCATTGGGGGACGGGGGGAAGGGATTAGGGAAGTCCTGCATTGGGCGGAGAGGGATGGAGGGATCAACTTCAATCCACCCATTAAAAAATAGCTTGTAATTCCTATTTATTTCTTGTCCCTCATCTCCTTTTTCACCTTCCCATTCTATCCTTCCATTTTTTTCTCCTTTGTCCCCCCCTAACCACTCACTGCTAAAAGCCTTGATGACTTTGAGGATATCCACTTTTGAAGAGTTGTGTTGTAACTTGTCTTTTAACTTTTCTCATGCACCAAAATATCATTTTCAAGTTGCACTTCCTATTTTATGTTGTCAGTAAATTATGGGCTATTAAATATAACCCCTTCCCATTCATTGGTGCATCTCCGTTGCCAGATAACCTAGAGGATTGCTCTCCTACCCGTGGTGAACAGGGTCTGAGTGAAATTGTCCATTTCGTCTGGGGTCCAGACTTCGAGCAGAATTACTTTCCATCCCCAGGACCATGATTGTGTTGTTTCTAATTGACCCCAGATGCGGTCCCACCATCTCCAAAGCAAAATGAAACCTAAACATACCATAAAAATATGTTCTATAGTCTCCGGGATTTTTCTGTTGGGGAAAGCAGCTTTACAGAGCTTGCATTAAGGTTTTGCCAACCTCTTTTTTCCAGAGAGGATCTTTTTATCAACAAGTCATTAGTGGGAAGACATCGGTGTTCTATTTAACAATGCAACGAGATAATCTTGGATGATTTTGATCTTACCACTTTGAACCAGCGAGCCTGTATCTGGTCATCCTTACTTATATTCAGTTGCTGCATCCATCTTGTTGAAACTCTATCCTTTAGATTGATTATGAGTTTGATCATTCAGTAGGTTGATTTAACTTATAGGGAATGCAGTGACCGAGTGTACTCTCTCCCTTTCTTGTTATGTGCATCCCATGTCCACCTCTAATGGAAAATTGAAGATCTCAGATGTTGGTCTAAAGCTTAACCATGATGAGGAATTTTTTTGAAGCACACTGATCCTAAAAAATTTTTTTTTTGGAACCCATTCTATCCTGTTTTCAGGGTAATGGGTCACTATATTGTCTTCTCTTAAGAGGAAAAAGGAAATGATCGCTAATAAATCTAGGGAGGGGGGGATTAGGATGTTTCCATCTACTTGGGGCTCGTTCTTTATACCCATCCAGTCACTTTGCTGAAAATACTTTCTTTTTTTGAGAATCTGTATCCATTCTAGAGGGATGAAGTCCACGATCGTCTCTAGGCTTTCCATTCACATCATGGCAATACTTAAACCTAGTGTGCAAAACGTCTGGGAGAATTTTGTCTCTAGTTTCTTCCTCCAAATATCTTTGATCC